TTCCATATAAACCTCGAAATAACTTTATCACAAGCTCTGAATCGTTTCTCAGGGATCTCGACTGGTGACTGAAAGAAATAAAGGAGTCTTGGAAGTATGCTCATTCTTTTAGTGTCTATCCGTGAACTGACATCCAGTGGAAGAACAGCCCACCTCTCCATATCACTCCTAATGTCCTGATCCATTTTCATATAGTTGGCTTTATATAGATCATCAATACTTTTTGTTATAGTAACCCCGAGATATGTCATTCTTTTAGAACTCCAATTTAAGTCAAGTGTTTGTCGTATAGTTTTGCATGGTTTGTAATTCAGTGTTAAAATCTCTGTTCTAATTCTCCTTATACCCAGAGTAAGAGCCGAACATCTCAATTTAGTTGATTAATAAAGGAAGGCATGTGTCAGAACATGGCACATTTTATTTGACACAGACATTTTGTTCTCATTTTCTGAGCTGTATCATGATACGACTAAACTAAATCTGAAGTAACACATGTAATGAAATGTACAACACCTCTTTATTAGCAGCCTTGGTGCACACTGGTGTCCTCTGTTAGTCACTGCTGCCCCCTGCTGGTACCTGCAGGTTATAGCAGCTTATGTCTCTTCTCAGTCAGACACGTTACAATATTTAGACAATATAAAGGGGAATGGGTTCTGTTGTCTCACTGGGTGTCTTCATAATTACTGACCTGGATAAAGTGTTGTTTACAGTGTAGAGTAAGTCATTTTAAAAGGACGCAGGCTTGTTTATTTAGAAAAGTCACTTTGTAGTAAATTAAGCCTCCTGTTGTTTGGGGAGGACTGTGTGTCTTAATGGGGCCGATTAATCAAGTGCTGATCTGCTCATCAACACACACAGACATGCTCACACACACACATGTTCACACACACACACATGCACAGTCACAAGACAAACACATACGGTCGTACAGTAGAGGATGAGTTTAACATTGTTACAGAGTGCTCAGGTCGGACCTTCAAGCTAGAGCTCTGTTCCCCAAGAGTGAAGGACACGGGGACTGTAACAGAGGGGGGATGTGGGGAGACGGGGGAGGGAGTTAGTGGGATGGAGCGGAGGTCAGGATGAGAGGGGGAGATGCCCCAGGGAGTCAAGAGACAGGGGGATAAAAGGACAGAGTCAGAGAGAGGCAGGCGAGTGCTGGTCTCACAGAAGGCAGGATGGATAGAAAGTTTATAGGCTTAAGAGAGAGGGAGAGAAACAAATTGTAGCCAGAATAGGGTGGCGAAGCAAAAGCAAGTTAAGAAAGTGGAACAAGTAATGGACTAAGAGGTGAGTTGGAGACACAAAGCTTCGGAAAGTGGAAAGAAAGAAGTTAATCAGAATGGAAAGAGAGGAGCAGAATGAGAACAGCTTACACACTGTAGCCGTCATTCTGCTGTGCTGTGGGGCCGTCAAAATGCTGCATCTGCTGGGAGTCATCAGTGTAGAGGGTGAGTCAGTACTACAACTACTATCACTGTTCACACAACCAGCGAGGTTGGAACGAGGACTTGTTTTCACCGATGTCTCTGCGCAAGTTATTTCGACAATAACATTGAATTATTTATTTGGAAACAAAAATACATAATGAAACAGTGAATACATTTAAGAAGCTGCAGACTGACTGTTCACACTCAACTGTAATGGATTCTTGACTATTGAAAATAACTACTCAAGGTATAGACTTGCAGAGGACTTGCATATTTTTTCTGCTACTTTAGATTGTATGTCTTCATGTATGGATACTTTCCAACAAGTGATTTTAATTTACGGTAGATACTAAAGCCTGTTTGTTTTCTTCATATTATCACAATGTTGCCTATTGCATTTTTTACTGCATGCACATACTGCTTATCTTACTTTTGTACATGCTGTAATAACTTTGCCCTGCTGACCAGTGTGATCATAAGTTCAGTAATGAGAAGAAATGACTGAGTGAGGGGGTCAAAAACAAATTCAAAGGGACAGTTCGCCCCCAAATCAAAAATACATGTTTCCTCTTACCTGTAGTGTATTCATCAAGATGGTTTTGGTGTGAGCTGCCTCGTTTTGGAGATATCTGTAGAGATGACTGCCTTCTCTTGAATTAAATCGGACTACTTGGCACTCGTATTGCCGTATACGTATGTCGTATGTATTTGTTGGCGCTTTGAGCACCACAAGCCGAGTGCCATGTAGTCCCATTGAATTGAAGAGATGGCAGACACCTCTTCAGCCGATATCTCCAAAATTAGGCAACTCACACCAAAACAATCTAGATTGATGACTGCACTACATTTCGGAGGAAAAACATGTAGTTTTGATTTGGGGGTGAACTGTCCCTTTAAACCTGAATACTAATTGATCCTGACTCTCGCACAACTATACGTTGTACTTTGAGATGGGACGTCCTGATCTGTGGTAGTTTTAGTGTCAGCATGAAGTGTGACTGTGCAGGTGCCATCAAGGCTTTAGCGTGGACAATAGAGTCGCAGTGAAGCCTGACAGAGGAGTGCACTGGTGTCGCCCTAAAGGTGCATGAATCGTGTACTGATTTAAGTTTAAAATAGAAGCGGGGGTACAATGGTTGGTACAGTATGCAAGACCATCACATCAGGGTCTGTGTTATGAATGCATTTAGAATATGGGCATGTATATCACACTTTTTTTAGTATGTGTCTTTGTTATAGTGCGAGTGTGTGTTTGCATGTGTGTGTGTGTGTGTGTGTGTGTCATACAGTAGGTCATATCTGAAAACCACTGGGATTCGGGTGTGAATAGCACCTTCATGAGTGTGAACCTCCACCTTAATGTGACACTGAACTGCCTGAGTGATGAAACGAACAGCCCTCAGGGGTTGTGTGTGTGTGTGTGTGTGTGTGTGTGTGTGTGTGTGTGTGTGTGCGTGTGTGTGTGTGTGTGTGCGTGCGTGCGCGTGTGGTATACGGGAAAGGAGCTATATAAAGAGAGATTGCTCAGCAACCCAACAGAAGTTATACAAAATGATGATGTGATAATGCACACACAATGTAGGAAATGAGTGAGCTCAATGTAATAAGCTCATGCTAGATTACATAATATGTTATTGTGTTTAATGTGGGCTATTACAATTTAAAATTACAATCATATCAACATGTTCAATGATACCAATCCCATCATACAGTACACAGTACAATATTGGATTAGAGGTTCACAGGTATGTAACATCATTTCAATTCAAACCTACTTTCAAACTTAAAGCCGTCAATGTAGGTTCACTAAAAAAAGCTTGTGTTTGCCACTGACAGGCTCAGATTGTTTCTGACAACCTATAAAAGGATTAGACAATCTCTCGCTTGATCGGTTCTTTTCATTCTGAGAAGTCTCGTTCTCAAATCATTGCATCCACATAGTCTATAATTATCAAAATATTCAACCATGACATTAAAAATCTAAGCTATGCTTTGCTCCAACAGAACAGACTCTGACCACACTGACACTCCTCTCTCCAATTCTCACTCACGTTTCCACCTCTGTCTTCAGGCAACAAGTCACATGACACGATAAGAAACAGAAAGTAAAAGAAGAGAAGAGCATTTTATTTTTCTGTAGGGTCTTTTCCCTAATGTTGTCAGTCACTTATAAAAACAATCTGAGCCAGCTGGGGGAAAAAACAAGCAATTTTAGTCGACGTGCGTTGACAGTGAGGAGTTGCCTCGAGCGATTACACTGCATCCTGTTCAGCAGCTGCCATCTGTAGCGTTCTCACTCAATACAGGACCATTTTCAAAGGTTTTTGACCCCATTAGTCACTTAGACACAAAAACATAGAGAAATAGGGTCCAAGTTGAAAAATACCAAAGTTCCACTTTAAATCATGAATACCAGCACTTCTATGTGGTTATTTGCATGAAAAGGTCTGCAGAAGGATGAAATGTGAAGACTTTCGACTGAGGTTTAATTTAGCAGTGAGACGGAGTTGTCTTTGCCTGGCACAATAAACATGCTGACCTGTTACCCTGGATCGTCATCATTTGACGAGGTATTGTGTAATGAAGCTTTACAAAGCACTAATGGTCTCGCCACACAGATAAAACGTTTCTATTTCAAGACTGTCGATGTTTCAAAATCTGGAGTGCCAAGGACAGTGTGAGCACTGCACTCTGTGACACTTCATTAACGCAGGACAGGAGCCCTTTGAAGAGCTTGAGCTCACTCACTGTATGACTACCTTCCATTCCAACCCCTGGCTGCTTACATCCTCTGATAATGGTGCAATGATCTGTTCACTGATTGCAGTAATTTGCATGTAAATGCTAAAGAAAGAGAGAGGAAATTATACTTGATCACCAAGCAGTGCTTTGGATGGTAAGTTAGCTTTTATAAATAATTAGAGGTCTACACAGGCAGCAATCTACCCAATGTCTAAATGCCCAACAGTCTTTTCTCCAAAACATTCCAATATCACGATGCTTTTTAACGAACTATAATCGCTCAGGAGACGATGATACCTGCAGGGCTCTCTCATATGAGCCGCTCTAAAGCTAACACAGCTGGACAGGTTCAGGCAGGTCGGTGACGGACATTCAGACTTTATTCTAAAACGGGGTTCATAAAGCGTATTACTGCATGTTCAACCATAGGCACTATGAGGCTGTGTGTGTGTGTGTATGTGTGTGTGTGTGTGTGTGTGTGTGTGTGTGTGGTGTCTCAGAGTCAATGGTTTGTCCTCTCTCCCCTCCCCTCCAGCGAGGAGAGTAATGAGTTGTTAATGATAGGGCCGGTGAGAGGAGGAACATGGAGCTGTTACACTGACCTCTACTCTCATCCTCTCCTCTCTTCTCCTTCCCTTTTAAAAGTAGAGTCTTATTATTTCTGCGTTTTCCAACTGATTAGATATTTCACTGTGTCCCCGCTCCCGGTCAGATGTCCACTTTCTTCTCCTCCTCTATATTACTTGGATAACCTATCCTTCCTGTCTTTTTGCTGTGTCACTCTTTCATTGTATGAGTTAGGAATATTGCTTTATGTCTCTTCAGACAAATGTGATGACGACTTGGAGATGACCATAGTGTGCCATCGACCGGAGGGCCTCAACCAGCTGGAAGCGATAACCAACTTCAACAAAAGAGAGCTCCAAGTGCTCTACAGGGGCTTTAAGAATGTAAGTGACTGTGCGGGTTCACGTCATACCTCAAAGATACATACAGTACATTGCGTACCAAAAGTGTCCATGTGTTGATCAGTAGACTGCTACTAATGCTGACATGTACAAGGAACTTCAAGTTGTCTTCTCAGCAAGCATACCAGAAGATCGGCTCAAACTAATAAAATATGCTTCCCCAAGAATTTTGAATTATGTTATTATATTCATTTTGTGAACAACAATATGTACAGCTTTAATCTTTCAGTGCCATCCTGGCTTGTGCAGTAACTCATCTCACCCCTATAGCAATCCCACTATACTGTAACCAGAGACATAGACGGATCAAACATGACCTGTGTGATAGATTCATTGGGCCTGCTGGTAAAATCTATAGTCTCCTTAATCTGAGCAAACAGGTGCATAACAAAAACTGTTGGAAAACGATCAGAGTTCATTTCAGCCCCAGGAGCTGTCCACAGTATCCGTTTGTATGTCTCTTGAACATGATTGTGTGTTATAGTTACATTGCTGTGCTGTAGCTACAGTCGATTTATTATTAAGATTTTATTTGGAGACCAAATCATTTTGGTTGTGGGCCATTCTTGGACCAGGGGCTGATTATTTGTTTCCCACTAAACTTGTGTATTTTTGGTTTTGTTGGTGTTATTGCCTTCATTTTATTGTTATTGTTAATCATACGTAGATCTTTAGCGCATTCTTTCTTTTTAACTTTTGGTGTCTCTTTTGCCAACTAAATTAAAGCTCTTTGTAAAAACTAGACTGAATATTGACACCATGGACAGATGGTCAGAGTTTGCAACTGCAGTCTGTTCTACTTTTGGTGATATAAGACGATAATAAACTACAAACTTTAGAGGTTTGACCAATAGCCAGTCTCCAGTCAACTTTGTTTAATCCTTTAATTTATTTAAAGCCTCCATCCGTCTCTGTCCACCTCTATTTGACCGTCCCTCCTCCTCACCCTCTCTTTCTGCCCCCCCCCTCTCTTTCCAGGAGTGTCCAAGTGGCGTCGTAAATGAGGAAACCTTCAAGCAAATATACTCCCAGTTCTTTCCACATGGAGGTAAAGAGAGTGTGTTCTGTGCTGTTTGAGTCTATACCCGTAATGTTTCTACCAAAATGTACTGACGAGCATTCCTGCAGATGCCAGCACCTACGCACACTACCTGTTCAACGCGTTTGACACAGCAAACAGCGGCTCTATAAAGTTTGAGGTTTGCTTGATTAGACTATTCAAATCATATTCTTCTTTTATTTTCCAAACTAGCTCTCCAATTTCGGATTTTTATTCTGTCCCTTTTTGTCTCCATCAGGACTTTGTGACAGCTCTGTCGATCCTGCTGAGGGGCTCCATCACTGAGAAGCTCCAGTGGACCTTCAACCTATACGATATCAACAGAGATGGATACATCAACAAAGAGGTGTGTCTTTGTGTATGTGTGCATGCCTGACCTTTATTATTTCCCCGATTGTGGTCATATTCTCTTTGTGTTTGTATTTTTATGTCACACATCTCTTTTGTGTGTGTTTGTACTTGTGTTCCGTTTCATAGGAGATGACAGACATCGTCAGAGCGATATACGACATGATGGGGAAGTACACTTACCCTGTCTTGAAAAACGATGCACCCAAACAGCACGTGGAGGCCTTCTTTCAGGTAACAACATTGGAGTCATTTAATTAATTAAGACTAATAAAAAACTCAACAACACAATTATTGGTGATTGACCAAACAGGGATGCACCAGTCAATTGCATGCTTTACATTTCCAAAAGCAGGAACAGCAGAAGACAAACTAGGTTAGCATGAGCAACGATATCCTTAATGGCTAAAGAGCAAATAAAAGAGTGAAAACACGAAAAAACATCTTTAAAAGAAGACATGTGGGTGCTGGACCCACTGACTAGTAGCAGGTGCTGTGGTGTTTCTGCAGTAGAGCTCTGAGAATGACACGATGACAGTGACCTCACAGAGTACGCCACTGATTTCAGTCTATGTATTTATAAACTAATTTGTGTCTTTGATTAATATCTTAATATTTTTGAGAAATGGACTGACACTATGTGTGCTGCTCTCCACAGAAAATGGACAAAAACAGAGACGGTGTGGTCACTCTGGATGAATTCATCCTCTCTTGTCAAGAGGTACGCTTGTCTTTCATTCCTCAAAGTTCACTTCTCTCTTACATAATCCTGAGGATCCCTTTAATGCACAGGTGTAAATTATTCAATTAAATATGGCTTGATTCCATTTACAGAGCAGAGCCATCAGTAATGTTATTAGTAACATTTGGCTTTTCCTACTGTGACAAAATGTCTGCTGTGAAAAATGGCTATTGTAGCTTTTTAAACAAAAAAAGTCACTAATTTTCTTACTATTTTTTGCTTATCTTCTTCCTTTGCAGGTCTCACTATACTGGCTATTGATTAAGATCGTTGCTACCTTTGATAAAATGTGTTTGTCCGTCTGCATATAGATCACTGAACCAACATTTCACAGGTCTTTACTGCCCTCCAGTGGCCAGTAAAATAAATGAAATGGTGATTGTTGGATGACTTTCTCACATTCAGCCTCTTTACTTCCCATCTTTTTTTGCACAGGATGAAAACATCATGAGGTCTCTACAGCTCTTTGAAAATGTCATCTAGACAACAAAGAAGAGGGAGACGGCGCAATAGACGAAAGCACAGACCGAGATAGAGATGGAGAAGGAGAGATGAACATGCAAGAGAAAAGGAACAGCATAGCTTGCCATTGAAATGAAAAATTGGATCTTGTCGCTCTGTGACGGTTGCCACACAACTTCATAGAAGGCATCTTGCTGTAACACATCTGTGGCGACAAACATTTTGGAAAACGCCCTTTGGACTTAAACCCTTTATTTGACGTCTCTGTAACCATTTACCTCGTCTCCATCTCCCTTCTTTGTTGCTGTCGCCTCAGACAGTGCGCATTTCATGGCATTGTGTAAATACTGATTCCCCTAACATTTGGTCCAATACTTTTCTGAAACGTGTAAATTGAACCGTATTATCAAGCAGGACTGGAATTCCCAGAAGCAGCTTAGCAGTGAGATCAACCCAATGCATACTTTGGTGCATTAGAGGCTTACGTAGTAGCTGTTTTCATCATGAATTTCTGTGTCAATACAACAAACGTGAGCAATATTGTGAAGCATGCAAGACAGAGGCCTATTTAACGTGTATGTGCCGTAAAACAAACTTGGTGGCAATATACTCCGCTAAGTGCATACATTTGGGAAGGCCAAGGTCTGAGTGTAGCATCTCACTGAGCCACCTCATCAGGCCTGTTAAGGTTTGTAGAGCTGAATTCAACCTCAGCCAGCTTGCAGTCTTTTGTCTCGTGGCAGCTTGCAACAGTCCTTTTTACACCTATTGTGTGTGTGTTCCAGTGGTGTCCGTCAGTGTTTCAATGTTGTAACGACTCGACTGTAGATATTTAACTGTTGTATTTGTGGCCTCTTAATGGCGTGTGGAATTATTCATGTCTTGTCTGCGTGTTTCTGATTCTGTCTATCTGTCTATCTTTCTGTCAAATTGGATACAACTAATTATTCTACATGACACTCATTGTTAAATAAATAAAGAGTCCATTTAGTGGTTTACTGGCATACAGATGCAGAGTTACACAGGGACGTGCATGTGTTTATTTGTGTGGTTTTGTTGTCCTAAAGTTTACGTTTGCCTGCATATAAGTGTTTTTTTCCTAGCATGTAGCTTCATCTCGGGGACACCACAATCAGTCCAGCTCAACTGGCCGTGTTTCCGCCAGAGAGGAGAGTTTCGTCGTCAGTTCTCTCTGTTAAAAATGTTGACCCGGAGCGACCAGCCTTTCACTGTGAGGGAGCGACAGGAGAGGGGAGCTAGGAGGGATTGTGGAGAAAGATTAGAGGAAGATGAGAGAGTAAGACAGAAGACGAGAGAGACCTTGTCACTGAATCTGAAGGAATGGAAGCCATGTTTCGAACAAGAGCCATCGTTTTGAAGATTGAGCAGGAAATACAGATTTATAAATGATATACTGTCATGCCCACTCACTGTGCTACCAATAGTGTAATAAAAATCCTTGCTGAGACGTGCTCATCTCAAAAGTACCCAGACACACTTCAGATAGACTGACAGACAGGAAGACAAACAGATAGACATCTTAAAACTGTCAGAATGAAATAATGTGTGTATTGAAATATTGTATAAAATCATTATATTTATCAATAAACTTTGCAAGAAACAAAATGAATCCATGTCTGCTATATTTTACCTTGTCGCTCCATAATTATTTTTTTTCATAGCTTATAATTATTGCGTATTAAAACCGTACAATTGTTTTTTATGGTGCACCATAAAGAGCATGAGCAAAAAGGGTCACATGAACAGTTTATATTGTTATTTACACATATACAATGAAAGTACAAAAAGAGTTGTACATTTGTGCCTCAATCCCCAAAGGACACACAAATAAAGCATGATAATGTGCATATGAAAAGAAAATAACGTCACCACCATCACAGAACATGCATCACTCCCTTTATTACCCAACTCACAGTCTCTTTCATATTTTCTTCACTTCTCTCCCTTCTAATCCTGACATCTATTTTCCTTTTATTAATGCGCACAAAAGCATTTCTCCCATATAATGTAACATTTTAGGCATACTTTTTTGGGGCTATGGTGGTGCACCACACCTGTGTATGTACAGGTGATTGTGCTGGTGCATTGTATTTGGAGTGGGTATATTTATAAATGAGATTTGAAAAAAGTTTAAGCACCAGAACAATTAAAAGGAAATCTCTGAATTATCTTTTATCTGCATTTTTGTAAAGATATATTTTGGTGTCTTTTGATAAAACAGTGCAGGAGTTTTATTTATAATATTTTTATGCAATTAGCCTACTATTTTTTTATGTGTTCGGTTGTAGGCCTTGCTTTTATATGGCTGGTGTTCTTCCCCTAACATAACAGAGCCAACCCTTTGAAAGCATTGCAAAGTCTGTTTCAGAATAAAGAGTTGGTTGTTGAGAGTAAAGACCTTCACAAAACTCTCAATCATGTCTCACTGTTGAGAAGGAATTGCCTCCTTCAGGTCTATGGGGTAAATATCTTTCTCCTCTTATTCTAATACACATAATAAGTAAGAGCATAAGAGGACAATCACAGGGTGACGAGAATTTTTAAAGACAAGTTATATTTCCTGTTTGGATTTGAAAAAGTCTTACGATTCCCAAGTTCAGAGTTGCGAGATTTATTCCAAGAAAGTTCTGTTTCTGCTTCAAGACAAACATCACTCACCATCATTTCAGGTCCATTTTTCCAACCGTCCACTCAAATGGCTGGGGCCCATTCTTCAGTTTATCTGGTCCAACATTTTTTTTTTATCCATTGCATGGAATAAAGTAAGTCCCACTGTCTTCATGTGGGTCTAATTTAATTGATTTATCCTCCCAGGGATAAGAGCTGATGCTTATTGATTACAGCGTTGTGCCTGGCGTCTATTCCCTCTCCTCGGCCCAGGGTTGGAGGTTCTGCAGGGCATACAGGGAGGAGTTATGGGCGCACAGTGGATCCGACACCGCTGATTCGATGAGGGACTTCTGGAGGGCGGACTGCTGCAGCTGAAGGATGAGGCGATTGGCCTGCTGACGCTCCGCCTCCCTTTCCTCGGCTGTCTGTCTCCTGAATAAAGACAGGGGGAAAAAAATAAACATTAATAAATAAATCAATAGATAAATAAAACGTGAGGTTATGTAAGAATAAAGGGCAGCAAGAAAAAAAGCTACAAGTGCGTAAATTCCCAAAAGCTGCAAAAAAGAGCAGTGATAAGTTCTTAGAATAAAATTAAAATAATATCGATGAAAGGAAGTCAATGTTTGTTTCTAGCAGGAAAAATCAGCTAAATAAAATAGGTGTAGTAATTCCCTAGCTCTTGCCTAATAATCATAAAAACTACATTTTGGTGACTTTTCTAAATAAATGATCTCTATTTGTTATTATATTTTATTACTTCATTGAAGAGGGCGAAAAATAATAAGAGAGAAAAAAGAAAGGATGTTAATAAACTCTATCAAAGCAGTTTTTAGAAAATTATTATTGGTGTTTATGTCTAAACGGTAGTGTTTTGGTTCCGTGTCGACGGGGGTCAATTCACAGGAAATGGTACGTGGGGTCATGTGCAGAACTAGGAAAGTTTGGTTTTTGAACAGGGCGACTGAAACTGTTGGTGGACGAAGATGGTGCGGGTTTTTAACGGCTGGAGTGTGATGAAATCCGGTAACACATGTTAATGAACACGTTAATATGACATTTCATACCAACCTCCACTTGGTCCTGCGGTTCTGGAACCAGGTTTTGACCTGTGCGTCTGTCATCTTCAGACTCTTGGCCAGGGCGGCCCGCTCGGCGCTGGCCAGGTACTTCTGCCGGTGGAAGCGCTTCTCCAGCTCGCAGATCTGAACTCTGGAGAAGGACGTGCGGGGCTTTTTCCGTTTGGGCGGTGTCCGGTTCTGGTACGGGTGTCCTATCCGTCGCGTAACGGCGAACGGCACCAGAGCCGCTGCAAGGAACGGAGAGACAAACCCGGTGAGTGGAAGACGATATTTTCTACTGCAGCAAACAGACTAATTCACTTCCCACTCTGTATGGAAATTCAAGGCCATATATCACAGATATCTGCCCTGTTTGACAACAATTCCCCATTTAGACTGTGTAAGCCATATGTGAAGTATGTGAGATGAAATTTATTGTGAAAGATTAGTCTGGCCAAGTAGCCTATTGAAAACAATGTAATTATAAGAAATAAACGGATAGTATCCGCCCTGCTAATTACAGCAGGTCTATTGGCCTATTTATCTTTTCTTCACATACAAGGCCTTTGTTAATAAAGGCTCCTGTTCATCTTTAATTTATCTTATTAACCTTTGTATTGAATACAGAAAACACATCACACACACACTTTATTATTTTGGATAGTATTTTTTATTTTAGATTGTAATTTTATTTTACGTTTTTCTATAATTTGTGAAGTAAATTATTTGACAACCTAATCTTATTCTTAGTTATCCCTCAATTTAGCCTAATAATCACATTTTCAGTTCATTTTCACTAACCAATATATTATGACAGAACAATGCTGTTTGGTTATACAAAAATAGAGCGTTATGATTGTGCATAACTACATTTGTTTTCTTATCAACAGGATGTAGAAATTAAATATTTAATTCATAAAACACACGTGAGGTCAGATACGCTGACACAAGAGGATTATTAATAATCTGTAAATGTAGTATACGCCATTATTTAAAAACACTTTCAAACATGTGTCCTGTTGTTTTTTTCCTTTGTTTAAGGCCAATGAAACGTACAACATTCCAGTCTGCTGTAAAAGCCTTTACACGTATTTGGCACCGGTGTCTTCAATGATTCAGCAGCAGTTACTAATATTTTAAACAAATCTATTATTAATGAGGGGAACCCGTTAGGTGTCACAGCTCGCCTACCTGATATTCTGTCCTTGGCGAACCGGTTTCCTATCCAGGGGAAGCACAGCCCTCCAAAACCCGGGACAGCGCTCTGGACGGGGGCCGGGGGTCCCGGGGCTGTCATGGGTCTGTGGGCCGGGACTCGAATCACTCCACGGCTGCCCAGACTCCTGCTTTCCCCGTATGAACCTGAAGCCTCCACCGGAGGCATTATACCGGAGAGGGAGATAGACAGCGCGGTGTACGAGGGCGCGCTGGACCCGGTCGGGCTTCCTAAACTGTAATAACCGTCCCCGTTGCTTAAATCGGATCCACTTTGTCTTCCAGACGTGCGCCCGTTTTCTGGCTCTGTACCGGCTCCCAGGATCTGGTCGATGCCGAAGCTGATGGGCTCATGGTGAGCCGGCTTTGGAGGAGGGCTCGGCGCGCTGGGTGCTTGCTCCATTCCCGTCACACTGTCGCAAAAGGACGAAAAAACTGAACAGGATATTTTCAGGGAGAATCACAGCGCGGTCAAACTGTACCAAAAGTAACCGCCAGTAGTGTCTCCATCGCTGTCCAGCCGTCTACCCCGATCCCAGCGTGTCCTTGTTGTCTCTAACAGGCCTCTTTCAGAGGACTGGGTCCTCTCTACAGGCTGTGGTGAAAGTTTGATGGGCGTTTGGAGAGATGTGACGCTCTGTCCTCCTCTCTGCGCGTCAAAACGCTCAGTTTAGCAGCTCCGTCCTCCTCCATCCCTCTCCACCATTCATTGGCTGGCACCAGAATGACTGATTGAATGTTAATGGGGGGGTAGGCCCACACTTTGGCACAATAACCAATATTTCCCATAACCACGGGTGTCAGCTTGTTTTATATATAAATATATATGGCAAAATATGGCATATCCATGCCTTCTGAGTGAGTCAGTATTTTATGTTTTTTTGTCATTATAACGGAGAGTAAGGAGCACGCGACAGCTTCATTGAAGTTGTATATGTAAAATAATCGCACCAGGGATCACTGAAGATGTAGGCGTCTTTGGTGACGAACATCTAATATTTTATCATTTCAACCAACTGCTGTTTGGTCATCTGTCTGTGTTCCGCTCGTCCACATAAACGTCTTCACTATATAAGTTTTGGTGACAAATGATATCGGATGGAAAAACTTTCTGCACACCTTCGGGTCTGATGAAATGACGCTTCTGCCTATTACCACTTTTCAGACAAGACAAAGTGCGCATCGTTTGTCCTCTTGCTGTCTGTGTCACCCCTTCAATCTCTATCGTTTGACACATGTGGAATGTACGTGAATAATAAGTTTATTCGACAACCGGATGAAAGCTATTAGGAAGTGCTTTATAACCTGAAGACTATTTATCGTGGATGTATTATAAAGGAGAGACCAAAAGGAAGAAATGTCGCTCTGAATTTCTATTCCTTTTTATTAGAATCCCTCATCGTCCACGATTTATTATCAAACACGGAGTTGTTTTTATATTTCTTCAACATTCCCCTGCACTGTTTCAAAAGGTTAGATCTTTAAGCTGAAACCAAAAATATGGAAATGTTTTTCCACTATTTTATTTAAAGGCTGAAATGGTCACAGCTAGAAACATAATGTAAAATCATTGAAACACATTTACTCAATAATCCATTCCAGTAGCTGTTGTTAAATACGTTATGTGTGAGATTATTGAGAGAGAATAAAAACGTTGAATCCACGTGCGTAATTACGCACATGAAACCCCTCACGCCTGTGTTTAAAATTAAAGGACAGCGGCCTAATTGACCACTAGCAGCACCTATTGAGCATATAGCAAAGCATTATGTGCCCTTATTTGTTCCTGGTAGCCAGTGCCACATTAAATGACCTGACAAGGGAAGGCCATGGGCTACTTCAGATAAAGTGTCCGGGCTCTGGAAGCTGCTAACCGCTCAGATTCAATGTAACGGGCGCCCAAAGTGACCAGATAATCACATTTTCACTAACTTGTCAGACAAATGCGCGTCGGGTTCGGATGCGGCAGGTGGCTCTTTCGGCTATCACATTACAGTACTTAAACAAACTAATGGCCAACATATTCATTTAATGACATCGAGGTTTATATTTGTAGGCTTTTAAAAGATCGACTCAACCTGTTCATTAGTCATCGTATTTTTGTAGGCATGTGTTTTATTCGTCTGAACTATGTACATAATTACATTTTAGGTTGGGGTTATCCTGTCTTCTTGGCAACGTTTTATGTCAGCTATAATTGTCAGTGTTTTAATGTTTTTGTCATCACTAACCATTATATATAATGCATCCAGAATTTAACTGCTACTGTATGTTTTTCTGCATTTAAAAAATCCTAAGAAAAAGCAAAAGTAAATTATAAACTGAGGTTATATGCTACAAAACCACACAGAAATGCAAAACTGTAGTAGGAAATAAAAAAAAAAGAGATCCGCATCTCGCGATTTACAATAAAGTCTTATGAAGCAATATGAGATGGGACAAGGCCCGAGGTGTTTGTTTGGCAATATGGACAGTCTGAGTGTTGGCTGGTTCACCCCGCCATATGTGAGCTCACCGGTGGCTTTTGATGGGGGAGAATTGGTCTTTTATAGCTGTCATCTTTGTGGACATTTTTATGTTTCTCTTGATGACATTTGCAAGAATAACTAATTGTGGCGGAGTTCGTCATTCGAACAAAACGCATATTTAAATTGATTTAATTTGTTTATAACAATTAAACGACCACGTATAGGAGGAGGCATACAGATCCCATCTGAATAACTGCTTTATGGAAAGGGATAATTATTGCCTTTATCGCAGAGTGAAGGCAGTCCCTCCAGCCTGTACAGCAGACGGGGTCCCACTGCTTGCAGATGTTGGGGGTTAGTAATCCGGTGTAATCCAATGATTATGAAACATTAGCTCTGACCTACCGGGATACCACCGGTTACCCAAAAGCCACCAGGAGAAGCCCCAGCCCGCCTCCAGCCAGCCTCACTGCATGTTTTGATAGTCTGAATGTTGAAAACGTAATTTCATTGCTTCATGATTACAGCAGATAATGTAAAAAATAATTGATGCCAAGAGTCCACTTAAAACACACACACACACACACACACACACACACACACACACACACACACAACCCCCTTTACAAAGCAACCTTGAGGTTATCTCGTTTAGGCCCAAATATTTAGATGGTGTTTCTGAAAAGCCTGCAGCCCACGCGAACAATTAAGATGCGCATCAATCCTCGTTTTTTTCCACATGGCAATATAAAAGCTGACACCCTGATTCCAAAAGTCCAAAAAAGAAACGACAACAAAAGAGTGAAAGAGTGCGATTTGTTTGAGAAATTACCACTTGATCTGCATAATCGGGGGTCTGGGCTGCTGCTCTGTACCCGGGGGCTGCGTTTTTATTGCGCGTCTCTTCGCTGTTATCAATTTCACCAGCGCGCCTGACTTTTTAAAAGGGGGACGAGGCCGGCTGCTTCTGAATAATGAATGACACGCTTTTATATTGTCGCTAAAGTGCCCGTGATGTTACAATATGAAAAGGCAGCGGTAAGTAATAGTGCATTTAAAGGGGATGTAGTGTATTATTATGATGTAAAAGAGAAGGAGAGAGGCGGTAGAGAGAGGGAGATGAGTGGATAGCAGCACCCAGAGAGAGAGAGAGATTGTTTTATTACAATAAGAGGAGATGAGTTTGCCTCGCAGCGAAATGGGGACCAGTTAATGAAACTTTACCGCGGCTAACGATTTCCCCTCCCTTGCTCTAAAAAAACGCCCTTATGAAATATTTAAACTATTTAATATAGGTAGTATTAAGCTGAAAGACACCGGCATCGGCCATCTGACAACATTTACAAGGCTGTGGATTTTTTAAAGTTGGGTAAACAAAGCTTTACGGCCCGCTTTCCCTCCCCCCACACTGGGGCCACGCTAGGCTACCCCTCCCATTACAGACAAGGCAGGCTTATATTGATAGGATGAGCCTGTAAACTGCTGCCTCTGTGTGTGAGAAGATGCAACCCCTAATACAGAGAAAAGCGTAAATATGACAAAATCAAGTCTCTCAACAGGAAAACACATTTACTCTATATTGCACTCAGCATGAGGATGTGGTGTTTCATATTGACATGCTCAGTGGGATTGTTGGATGAGAAGAGAGGAATGGGATCCCCCATCAGGGACTCGGTCAGGGCCATCGTCATCCCTGGGCTGTCACTGGACACACCGCTCTGTGGACACTCAAAAAAGCAGATACACCATGTAAAATGTCACTGTAAATGTCAAATATATGGCTTGGCAGATCAGTATTAGAGGTTTTTAATTTCCAAATATGAAAGCTGTCATCCCAAAAGGTTGTTTTTATTGAAAGAATGATAAGTCATGACGGAAAAAAATGCAGTTGAAATGTTGAAGCAGCTGATTATCAAAACATAGTGGTGGATTGTTTGATATTCTCAGGAAGTCAAAAAGCAACCAATAGACAGACTTTTATATACAAATCAGTCATGTAAGCTTTTTTTTCCCCTGCATGTATCAGGATGCTAATTTCAGATGCCCTGATACGGTAGATATTTGTTTCAGTGAACATTGCATTCTTGAGGAACATTATGCTTTGACTCTGTGTGTGCGTGTGTGCGTGTGAGGGTAGACCATGTAAGCCTGTCTGATGGTTGAATGCATGGCTGCCTCTTCACGCTGGTTAAAAGTCAGGGAGGGAGGGAGAGGAGGATGGAGAGGAAGAGAGTGAGAAAGGGAAGTAAGTAAACCGCACAGACGTGAATTATAGGGATGGACGGAGAGCAGAGAGCAAAAACAGGATGGCAGACTGAGATGTGAGAGAAAGAGTTAAAGCATTATTGGAGATCATTTGGGGCTGATGATAATTGAACACATGGCTTGAGTTTGGTCAAGAGGATTCCCATAACTTTGTCTCGTCTTTATGTGTGTGTGGTTGTACTTTTAAGAGTTAATCTCTGTCTTTATCTATTCTGAGTGCTAAGTAAAAGTTTCTCCGCTGTTTTTATGGAGACATTTTTAGCCTTTCATCACACTCGATGGCTTTCAGGGGCATCTGCCATCCACAAAATGACTGATGTAATTAATAAGTGCGTGTGTTTGCTATTGCTTTAATGACTTATGACTGATTTATGTGTGTGTGTGAGGGAGTGTGCCAGTGCGGGTTTGTGTTTAAGAGCAGCTGAGTGCTCCTGAACGCCTCTGGTCGTGGCGCTAATGTGTTAATTCATTACGGCTTGTAGTCAGTTGCATTGTGTCAGAGCTGTGTTTCCCGTCTCTCTCTGTCTGTGTCCTCTCCGCTTCATAAAAGCTGATTATCCTGCATGTCGCCGCCGTTCCACCCATTCTCTCCTGCCTCTTGACCTCCTCACCCCTCCTGTTGCCTGCCCGCGGGGTGCTCATGCAGGGGAGGATGTGGGGGAGGGACAGAGGACCAGCTGCCACCAGCCATAGTGCTCTGGTGCCTGGCAGAGGGAGCTACTCCAGCCCCCTGCTTTGCTGGGCCTTCTGGCCCCTCAGGGTGGAGGGGGGGCACCAGCCTCATGCCACCAGCCCCACCTGTCTAGCCCCAGGCGCAGGAGTGTGACCGATTAGACACACACGCTCAGTTGTACACAGCCACATATGCATATTACTGCCGGATGACCCCAA